AGTAACCTAGGATTAAAAAGGGCTCCTTTTTGGGGTATTGAATACCTCTATAAGGAGCCTACGACTTCGAAAAGGGAAAAATGGCCCATCGCAGGTGCGGGGCTCGGGTATGAATCTACTTCTGATAATTCGGGACGCCTTGTATGGGTTCCTGACAATGAATGCTTGCTGTTCTTATGATGGAATCCATAAGAGGCCATCCGATGTGCCCGCGTATCTCGCGAATACATCACAGACATAACTTTGTACTGACAATGCCACCACACTCTCACCCCGAGCCCTAAACCCCAAAAGCCCCAAACCCTCACGCACCCGAAATGCTGTCAGTAGAACCCTCAAGCCCCAAACCTCAAAACGCCCACGTTTCAAGCAGTCACCCGTAATTTGCAAAACCCACAGCGTACATTGCGTTAGAGCCTTGACAAAACCCTTATACCCTACAATCTACCATCCCTAAACCCTTCCAGCGCCTGTATAGAACCCTGGAAGGAATCCCCTGTAGTACCTTGACAGGAACCCATAAAGGAAGGGGGCAACCTAAGCCGCACACTCGGCTGACTTTTTGCCACCCTTGCTGGCCTGGGGGCTTCTTTACGGTTTCGGGTTGAGCTTAGGCTTTCGGGTATTTCATAAACTTAAGGACTAAACGAACCCCGTCGAGTCCAGTGCTAGTTTTGGGCCATTTGGCGTTCAGGCCTTGTTAGGTTTCCGTTTGAGGTTTATAGTATTATAGTATAGGTCGAGGCCTGAACCCCAAACCATAAAACACGTTCAGCCCTAAGCCCTAAAAACCTATAAGCCTTGCAAGCCCATAAATCCGAAGACCAAAACCCCGCATCCTCTAAGCCCTACCTATAGCCTCCGTTGTTGCTCCTTTTTTGGATTACCTTCGGAAACTACAATGGAGGGGCCGAGGGCAATTGCGTTGCATTGTGTGGAAGTTGCAATGGACTGGGGCACCGACGGTGATATAGGGGCCTAAACGATTACCAATACCATGTTGAGGGTTCAGTTTATAACATTCCCCCAAACCTATTCTAATTGCTAAGGTCCCTGTATTTTTGTGTCTCAGATGGCTTTAAACGTTCTACGGCCTACTTAAAGGACAGGGAGACGTTGTACTATGCAGGGTTGTAGGCCAGGCAACAAACCCCCTTGCAACTACGGTGTGTATAACCCCAGTCAGGAACAGAAACCAAAACTCTAAACCTGAGGCGTTCGTGAACCTTGCAAGTTCAAACCTCAAAACAATGTGACGTTGGGCTTCGGGCTCAAGGCTTTTTGACTCCCCTAAACCCTAAACCCTAAACCTTGAGAGGGTCCAACACTAAGGCCAGAGGGTTCAGGCTGTGGGGTTCAGATCGTTTCTGAATGCTACCCATGGGCCCCATAGTAGTTTCTTTTTGAGGTTCATGTTTAGAATCCTATAAGGTAATCCCAAAAAGGAACTACTATGGGGCCTATGGGTAGCTACTCATCTCAGGAACTTGCATAAAACCCGAACGGATTTCTGGCGACGTCTGGCGGAGGGCACTCAATGAAGGTCTAACTTACGGCCTGACGGCTTAGAAAGAGCTCAAAAACTCAACTCAACAAGAAAAAACCCTGAACTCCTAAACCGCGTATGCATAAGAAAACCATCGATGGACCATACAAATGTAGACAGAACCGTGCAAGAGCCCTTAAAGCATGATTACTGAAGAACCAGCCCTGAAGGAGCCGGCTATACCATGAAAGTCCACACTACAGTACCAAAAACACCCTAGCCAACAAAAACGACAAACTCAGCCCTAAACTCAAAAGCTTGTCTGCAGAAAGCCGTGCCTCCGTGATGATTCCCAGAAGCTCTTCGGGCGTGAGTGTCCGCAGCTCCTTCTCCTGGGCTTTGACGTAACCAAGGAGAACAAATATAGACTTGTTTATCACAATGGTTCCTCTAAGGAACAGGACCCAAAAAAAGGTATTAACGTATGGTACTCGAAAGCCCAGGCTCCGTCTCTTTGGAGAGGTTATGCTTCTTCACGTACTTCTTCAGCTCCTGGCGCTTGGGGGTTTACCAACAGTCTCAATTGTAGTTCCTTTTTGGGGATACCTTTAAAAATCCTGAAAAATATAGTTAGTTAAACCAAAAAAGGTAACTAGAATGGAGACTATAGGAAGGTTTTGGTGTCTTGGCCCCAGGGTTTGGGGCTTGGCGCCGGGTGTGATGTGGGGGCCTTAATAATTAGAATAGGGTTTTGGCATCCTTTATGTTATAATGATAATAAGAACCCCCCAAAATATTTTAGGTAATTATTAAGGTTTTTTATACCCTAACCTACCATAACCTGCTCTTGGCATTGTCCTAAAGGCAGCCCTGTGCAACATAGGGACCCTGCAGCAAGTATGCTCTGCTTATTGTAGGGTTTAGGGGGGCTTCTTGAAATCCTGGCACTTCCGTAGGTTAGTCATTGACACCCTCAGAATAAGGCTCTTTATTGTAATTGAGCCCTAAACCCTTACACCCTAAACCCTAAGTTTGAACAGAGAGCCCCCGACAAAATATCAACTTGAGGGTTTAAGGCTGTCGGGTTCGCACAGGCAGAGAGTTAGACACTCCAACACCCCTTAATTAAGGAATATACGTTAAAATCTTATTAGGGATCCTACTATAATTTAAGGTATACTCCTTAGTTAAGGGGTATTGGAGTCTCTGGGGAGTTACTGTGAGACTTTCCAAGGATGCCAGGGCTTCCACGGCTCCGAAATCCGTGCGTTCTGGCTTCCCCGATCGGTCGCAAGTCTAGAATCCTCAAGGGTGGCATGTGCGGGCTTCAGGAATTTATAAATTATTATACACTAGTGCAGAGGGAAGGAGTCGCAAGCTTCGTTGAATTGCCGACAAAAAATTACGGCATCTCCGAAGATTGCACCTGCAAACCATGCACGACTGTTGCAATTATGGTCCCAAACCAAAACGCCTACAAACCCTATAGAACCCCAAAAGCTTGAGACTCTACACCCCCGAAAGCCTGGAGTGCCTTATAGCACCCGTAATGGTACAGCCTGATAGTCACTTACGGATCCCCACCTACCTAGACCCTAAAGACCTGGACCCAAGGACCCCCATCCCTAAACCCGAAACCCTCCATAAACCCTAAATCCTATAAGCCCCCTAAACCCAGAGAGCGCAATACCCCTTCAATAAGGAATATACCTTAAATGATAGGGGCCTTAATATTATGAGTTAAAGTATATTCCTTCATTCCGTTCTGGATCCCTTATGGATCCCTTAAAGGGACCCTTACTGTTAGGTGTATTCCTTAATTCAGGGGTATGGGTAAGTTGGGCTCTCTGGGAACCCTAAACCCTAAACCCTGAACCCTCAACCCTAAACTCCAAGCCCTATAAGCCCTACACCCTAAACCCAAAACCCTGAACCCCTAAACCGAAAACCCCTAAACCCAAAACCCCTATATGGGTATTGGGCTCTCTGGGAACCCTGAACCCTAAACCCTAAACCCCAAGCCCTATAAGCCCTAAGCCATCCCTGCCATCCTCTTCCGCGTAGACGGCAATGGCATGGTCGGCTCCACCACTCTTTGAGGAGCTACTCTTGGTGACCTGCTTGGAGGGTCAGTCTAAGGTACTATATAGCCTGTATGGGAGTTTCTGAAACAAGGGGTACCTTCTTTGGGGGTCCTTATAATAAGGATCCTACTATTTAGGGTACTATATTAGGGCCCCCTATTTTCGGAAACCCCCATATGTATCCTTAAGGGTCCCTAGAAGGGCCTAAGGGTCCATATGAGGAGCTACTCTTCGTGACCTGCTTGGAGGGTCAGTAGACTTTTAGGGTTTAGGGTTTAGGGGTTTAGGGTAGTATGGGACTTGCCCACTTTTAGTGACCTGCTTGGAGGGTCAGTAAACTTTGGGACTTAGTGACCTGCTTGGAGGTCAGAGGACTTGGTAACTGGGCCTTAGGGTTTAGGGCTTATCTGGACCCCAAAGAACCTACCTTTTTATAGTTCCTTATTATGATTTCTGTATATAAGTCCTGAAAAAGGTAGCTTAGATGGGGTTAAGGTAGGGCTTAGGGCTTAGAGTAGTATACTTGCCCAAAGAGCCCAATACCCTCCAAATAAGGAATATACCTTAAGTTATAGGGGCCTTAGAATATTATGAGTTAAAGTATATTCCCTAATTAAGGGGTATTGGGCTCTTGGGGACTTAGTAACTAGAGCTTAGGGTAACTATAGCTGCAGTATGTTACAGTCATAGTTACTTAGAATCTTAGAACACCAGTTGGGGTGCTTCTTTTGTTTGCTCGGATTCTTAAGATTTTGCAGAGGGCCTTATGCAGCTTTCGGATCTTTGGTATGGTCACCAGAATTTTCATAAGGTGGTATGAGGGTTTTGCCGGGTTAACTATATGGCTTAAACGGTCCATGTACCTACAAAGCATGCGGTTTGAGCTTCATCAAAGGGTCTCTATGGGATCTATAACTCTATTCTGAATGGGTTGATGCAGCCGGAATTTCCTGGGGATGCATGGCAAACACAGCAAATGCCGCCGTGGCAATTACATAAAGAAGCCGGGGCATTGCGAAGCGACTTCTGACCTTCTTCGTCAACTCCTTAGGGGGTTGGGGTTTAGAGTTTAGGGGTTTAGGGTATACGGGTTTAGGGTTAAGGGTTAAGGGTTTAAGGGTTTACGGGTTTACGGGTTTAGGGTTTAGGGTTTAGGGTGTAGGGTTTAGGACGGACCCTTTCGATAGTTTGGTTTCATGCATCTCGACTGATATCCTAAGTAGGACCCCGAGGGAGCCCCTCCTCCTTCGACCCCCCGCGAAGGGTATTATAGGGTTCTATCATGGGATTCCTTTAAGGGTACCATAGGGTTTCGTTTATATGGTCCTCTGAAGGGTCCCCAAGATACTGTTGATGATATAAATCTGCATTTACCCATAATAAGGAATATACCAGAATTTCCATGGTTTAGGGTCCTTGAGGTAATGCAGGATTTGTATCATCAACCGTAATGTACGGGCCTTAGTGATTAGACTAGGGTTTGGGGCCGATTAAACTATAATAAGAATAGGAACCCCCAAAATAGTATTGGTAATTATTTAAGCCCCTAAAATATATTATCAACTGGCCCTACTCCCTTAAACCCACCCTGAAACCCTAAACCCAAAGCCCTACAAACCCTCAAACCCTAAACCTTAAACCCTGAACCCTAAACCCAAAGCCCTATAAACCCCAAGCCCAAGCCAGCCTGAGGAGTCTGGGTCAGGGTGCTGGCAGCCATTGCGAGGTTGTGCATCGCCAGCTGCTGCCTGGGAGGCCAGCTTCGCGCTCTTCGAGCGTTTAGGGTTTAGGGCTTTAGGGCTTTAGGGCTTTAGGGGTTTATAGGGTTTAGGGCTTTAGGGCTTTAGGGCTTTAGGGCTTTAGGGTTTTAGGGGTTTATAGGGGTTTATAGGGGTTTATAGGGGTTTATAGTGGTTTATAGGGGTTTATAGGGGTTTAGGGTTTATGGGGCTTTAGGGCTTTAGGGTTTAGGGTTTTAGGGCTTTAGGGTTTTATGGTTTAGGGCTTTAGGGCTTTAGGGTTTTAGGGCTTTAGGGTTTTAGGGTTTTAGGGTTTATAGGGGTTCAGGGTTTAGGGGTTTTAGGGTTCAGGGTTTGAGGGTTTATAGGGGTTTAGGGTTTAGGGTTTAGGCCAGACCCTCCAAGTACCCTCAAATAGGAATACAGATGGTCCCAAGATAAGGGGATGTAGGGTCTAACAGAGTCCAGGTGGAGGGGCTAGGGGATTTAGGGTTTAGGGTTTAGGGTTTAGGGTCTAGGGGGATTTAGGGCTTTCGGGGTTCAGAATCCTATACAGTTTTTGGACAGACCGTTAAACTCGATGCAAGTCCTTCAACCTGATTTTGTCGCTTCGATCGCCAGGTAAAACCTTAAATGCGAAGAGCCCTATAAACTGGCGCTAAACCTTAAAACACTACACTGGCCCTACTCTAAGGGCTTTAGGAGGGACCCTTAATAGGGACCCTTGTAGGTTATTGGGGTTAATATGGAGACGACTTTGCTATATAAGGGGTATATAAGGACTATACAATGGGATTAAGGGTCCCTATTAGGGGTCCCTCCTAAAGTCCTTAAACCTACACCTTTAAACCCACCCTAAAACCCCATCAACCCTAAACCCAAAGCCCTATAAAACCCAAGACCAAATCCTGACCCTCTCGACTCGAACTTGGTCCAGCAACTGCCTGGGGCTCAAAGAAACCTCCGAGTGTCCAAGGAAAGGGGAGTAGGGTTATCAGGGTTTTTTTAACCCTAAACCCTAAACCCTAAACCGGGTTATAAGGGTTTAGGGTTTAGGGTTGTCCGAATTGTTGTCGGCAGAAGTTTTTATAGTTTCAAGTTGCAGCAGAGCTGCGCAGTCACAGTAGCCGCCATGAGATTCGGCGTGAGCAGCCTGATGCATGGCACTGCAAAGTACGAGAACACCGAACCGAATCGCGATGCGGGCGCGAGCTGATAAAACTGCTTCAAACGCTGCGCTGGTCGAGAAGCTGTAATTGGCGAGTAATTACCAGATATAGAGATTGATAATGGTAAGTCTCATGGCATCGAAGACGACGATGACAACAATAACAACGACTATAATGACCAGGAACACAACCACGATGCCGAGGCCGACCACCAACGCCGCCATACCGACAATCAGCATGAAAACCACCACCGGAGCCACAACCGCACACAGCCAACAAACAACAACCGCGATTCGCTGGCTGCTGCCTTTGCAGCTGCTAGGTCTGGCCCACTATTGCCGCCACAGGCCAAAAACAACTCGAGGAGACAGACACGCTGCATGCATCTCCACGGACTTGAGCCCTAAACCCCAAACCCTCAACCTCTAAACCCCAGACCCCTAAATCACTCAATCCCTAAACACTAAACCCTGAAACAAACCCGTAAGCCCCGTAACACATCCCAGTGGTAGCAGCTAACAGCCACGAGCAGCCAACTTTGCCAAGAAGCTGCGGCAATACGCCTGGATAGACTGCCTGCGCAAACTGCTGCTGAAACTGCTGCTGAAACTGCTGCTGCTGCTGCTGCTGCTGCTGCTGCTGCTGCTGCTGCTGCTGCTGTTGCTGCTGCTGCTGCTGCTGCCACTGCTGTTGTGCAGGTGTGGGCTGTGGAGGGGGTGGTGGAACCACGTTTTGAAAGCCGTGCTGTTGCTGCGGCTGCTTGGGCGGCGGCGGCAAGGGCGGTTCTGAGGCAGGGGGTGGGGGTACTGGAGGTGGCGGCTTGCTCGCTGGAGGCTGCGGTGGCTGCGGTGGCGGCTGTGGTGGCGGCGGCGGCTTTTGTGGTTGTGGCGGCTGCGGTGGCCTAAGCTGTTCAGTAATCAACTGGGAAAAAGTATGTACTTTTTTGGGGTTAATTATAATATATTAGCAAAATACCACCCCCAAAAAAGGTAAACAAAAACAAAAACAAGATACTATACTGGGCATCCTAGTGGCTGTTTCAGTGGCCTCGATGGGGTCGTCGCGGGCTCCTCAGAAGCTTTCGGCGCTGGCGGGGGCCCTTCCGGCTCAGGAGGCCGCTTCGAACGAGGTGCACCGATGGGCTCTGGAGGCCGCCTTAGGAAAGTGGTTTAAGGTTTTGGTGGATTTAGCGGTTTAGGGTTTAATTAGGGGTTTAGCGGTTTAGCGGTTTAGGGGTTTAATTAGGGGTTTAGCGGTTTAGGGGTTTAGGACTTTAGGGGTTTAGGGGTTTAGGGTTTAGGGTTTAGCGTGTAGGAGCGCTCTGTTTTTTTGGGGGGAGGTTTCTTGAAAGGGGCTCTGTAAGGGGCACAAGAGCTGTTGTAAGGGCTCCATACAAGGTTCTGTGGTGGGGCCTTATGGTTTAGAATAGGGTTTACGAGGGATAGCATCAATACAAATGAAATTGACACACGTTGCGTGAAGGCACCGCTCCCCGCTATAAAATTGAAAGACTCTTGGTCTCTGCCACTCTGAGGAGGACTTCACAAAGTCCTGTTGCAGAGTTTTGGATCTACACAAAACCCCACCCTAACAGCCCAGTTACCCAAATAGTAAAGTACTGGGCCATCGGGCACTATAAGATTTACATATAAGGTTTAAGGGACAGCAACCCTAAAAACTAAACCCTAAACTTCACCCTAAACCCTAAACTTAACCCTAAACCCTAAACCCTAAACTTAACCCTAAACCCTAAACCCTAAACCCTAAACCCTAAACCCTAAACTTAACCCTAAACCCTAAACTAAACCCTAGTGGGTATCTGGCCTCCTGGGGCCTGGGGGCCATTTGATCCTGGATTTCCCGGGCCCCCTCCCATGAATGCTCTTTCTAGGTTCCCCGATAGCCCCTTAATTAGTGATGAAGGGTACCCCTTTTCCCTACTATTTGGGCTTCAAGGGAACCCAAAAAGAAAACCCCCTTTTTCCTACTATTTGGGCTTCACGGAGAAAAAGTGAAACAAGGCACTACTCGGAACATTTTGTTTTCGTTCAGCCAGGCAAATGAGGGTGAAGGTGTAACCCTTCTCGCGCTCTGTGACTTCGGCCTTCTATTCCCGATGAGGACACCATAGCGCACCCAAGAAACCGTCGCAATATAGGGCCTTAAAAATTAGAATAGAGTTGGGGGAGGCCTTAATAATTAGAATAGGGTTCCTTTAAAGGGTCTATAAGGGTTTAGGGTTTAGGGTCTAGGGCAAAGGGGCCTTAAGAATTAGAATAGTGTTTTGGGGCCCATTCTACTCAGACCCCTACATCACTCATGTTACACGGGCCCCTTTACCCTAAACCCCTTTACCCTAAACCCTAAACCCCTAAACCCTAAACCCTTCACCCAACCAGGCCACAGGAAGACCAGAAAATTTGGACAGAAATCCTCTCTGAAATGCGACGAACTGACTACGGGAAACCACAGGTGGGGAGTTTAGGGTATATAGGGCTTCTGTAAGGCTTCTATAAGCTATTAGACCTTCTACAATGCCCCTATGGCGGTAACTACCCATCTGAAAATGTCCTAGAAACTGACTTGCAAACCTCTTGGACCAAAGCACACAACCCCGAACCCCAGACCTTGATTGAACCCCAAACCCTGATAGAATCCTAAACCCTAAACCCTAAACCCTAAATCCTGACTGAACGGGTTTCCTTCTAGGGGCCCTAAACCCTAAACCCTTAAACCTCAACCTTAAATCCCTCAACCCGTAAACCCCTAAACCCGTAAACCCTGAACCCCTACGCTGCCCTAAACCCTTAAACCCCGAAGCCCTACACCCCTAAACCGCCCTAAACCCCCAAACCTTCTAAGAAACCCAAACCCCCAAAACAAAAACTAAAAATCCGCCAGGTGGCTGCTTGCCCTCGGTTCGAACCGGCGGCTTCTCAGGTGCCTTTTTAGGGTTTGGTTTAGGGTTTAGGGTTTAGGGTTTTGGGGATTCGGTGTTTAGGGTTTAGGGTTTAAGGGTTTAGGGGAGTAGGGTTTAGGGTTTGGGGTTAAAGGGCTTGCTTGGGGTTTAGGGGATGAGGCCGGGTTTAGGGTTTAGGGTTTGGGGTTAAGGGGTTTAGGGTTAAAGCTTTCACCTCAAACCCTAAACCCTAAACCCTAAACCCCAAACCCTAAACCCCTAAAGCCCTACCTGGATCTCCGTTGTAG